TTCTAACCGGAGTAACGGCACCTGCAAAGGCGTGAAGGGGTGGCATAATTTGGCACGGCTGTGGGGTGGGGTGAGGTGAAGAGAGGCTGGACATGCAGGCAAGAGCCAGACGAGAACAGGTCTGGGGAGCTAAGGATTATCAAAAGTAGAATCACCGAGTGATGGGACGCGGGGAAGTTTCAGAGAAAGCCCCCAACACTTGCCCAGTGTCGGAGGAGAGCAGGCAAGACACCAAACATTTCAGTACTCGGTGCTAAAAGATAAACTGAGGCATGTGAAACACTTTCAGGGCTTGAGTAAAAAATAAGTCCAGCTGGGCAGCGTCAGACTGGAAGTGGTGAGGCACGCTCCACCCACGGGCGCCTGCCGAGAGGCGGACACAAAGCAAGCACGGTGTTTGGTTGGCTGTCGCCTAAGCTGTTGCATTATTTGGGAAAGCCCACATGGCTGTTTGTGACTGGCTGGTCTGAAGTTTTGATTTCTTCACCTTGAGGCACTGGCAGGCTTAGGGCTGGGTGTGCTTCCGTAGGCTGCTGGGGTATCGGACCCACTTCAGTCTAATGGCCTCCTTAAGGTCAGGACTCTGGTCGTCCCTGTACCCCCAGCCCAGCTAAGGGACCCCCAGCCCAGCTGAGGGCCGGGCACAATCGCCTCGTAAGTGTGGACAAATGAATGATCTGTCAGACAAACTTTCCTGAACGGCCTGCCTTCTACGGTCCAGTTGGGTCACCTTGCCATACCCAAACAACAAGGGCAGCACAAGGGGTGAATTTGGCTCCAGAAGATCTGGGTTCTGCTACCGTCTCATGCTAACGTGGACCTCGGGCAAAGTACATACGTCCCGATCTGAGAATCTAGGGTTCTCATCTGTGAAGATGGGATTTTAAAAAAATCCTGGGAATCTCAAAATAATGCGTGAAAATACTTCATAACACTGCTCAAATGTAAGTTGTATATATTATACATTATCCTCTTCTTAACAAATACACCTGTGCTTAAAAGTCAGAAAAAACATGTTGAGCTCAAAGTTATTGTATTACAGGCCAGTAAAAATACTAATGTTAATTGTATTTTTCCACTAGCATTCGTGTTGTTCTACTGGAAACCGCACGTTAGACTCTGGTTGTTCCTTGCTGGCTCCAATCAGTTACACTCACCTTCTTGCTGTACCTTAAACACGCCAAGCGGGCTCCTACCTCAGGCCTCTGCCCCGCTGTTCACTGGTCCCCTGATAACACAGGAAGGTCATGTCTGCACTTCCCTCAGGCCTCGGCTCAGAAACCGCCTCACAGGGCCTTCCCTAAGCACTCTGTGGAAAGCGGCTCCCACCTTCCTTAGCCTGTCTTCCTTTCCTTGACGGCAATCATCACAATCATGTTTTTGCTTCTTCTTGGCCTCCCGTGAAAATGTAAGCCCCACGGAGAGAGTGCCTCCCTTAGAGCTGCATCCACAACACCCAGAACAGTGCTCAGCACATGGAAGATACTCGGGGCCTCGTGCTAGGTAGTTTGCTAAAATGAACGACACTGGGCAAAGAAATGAAGTTTTTCACTGTCACCTGTCATCATATGGAATTAAAAAGGACTTGCAAAATAAAATAGGATAGAAAATAGTAGGATTAGAGGAGATCTAGTCTTGCCATTAACAAGCTGTTTGGCCCTGGAAAGTCATTGTTTCTGAGCTTCATTGTTCTTATCCATAAAACAGGAGTAGGGATACCCTCCACTTGCCCACATCACAAATCTCAGGACTGCTGTGGAACTTAACGGGGTCTCACATAGCATTTAATAGGGTACCTTTCTGTCTTTACTGTTAACTCTTCAAGAGCAGGGACCTGGTCTTACTCGTCTATTATAGGACTTGGCACAGGCCTGGATCTCTACATAATTGCCTAAAAATAGAGAACAAAGGTTAAAACTTTCCTTTGAGAAATGAACTGAGCTTCAAATATTCATGCTCCAGATTATTTTTATAGTCACTGTGTTATTTCATTTCATACAGCAGACAAAACAATTAGTGCGTCTGAGCAGCTAGGAAGATTGTTAGTCTGGGTTTTGTTCAGGATAAAGAATACAAAATGAATGGTTCGTTTTTACTAAATGAATGGTTCTCCTGAATCAGCGCTGAAAAAATGCTTATGCTCTTCTGATGCTTCTGACACAGGCAGAAGACATGTGCTCCCATCGACAGAGCGCCAACCCTTGAATGAGTCCTTAACACAATAGAGAATGAAGTGCTAACTCAGGGGCAAGAGCCAAACCTCCACTGCTTAGTTGGTTGTCCAGCTGGAATCAGACATCTGAAAATTCTGCACATTGTCACAGGTAACTACTCTCTTTTCAAAGAACCAGATCAAGATTAGAAGGAACAAAGTTATAGTGGCTGGTAGTTTAAACAATTATTTTGTATAAAGCCAGGTTCTTTTCATATATCCATTAGATTGGGGGAAAAGGGGCGCCTGGGTGGCTCAGTCGGTTAAGCGTCTGCCTTCAGTTCAGGTCATGATGTCAGGGTTGTGGATCAAGCCGCGTGTCGGGCTCCCTGCTGGGTGGAGAGCCTGCTTCTCCCTCTTCCTCTGCCCCCTCCCCACCCCCAGTGCTCTCTCACTCTCTCTCGCTCTCACTCTATCTCAAATAAACAAATAAAATCTTTAAAAAAAAAAAGACTGGGGGAAAAGGCTTACCCCTAGACTCCAAAAGTAGCTCCTTCTTTAAATGCTTGTGAACAGACAGTAAAGCTGGGGAGGCGATGGGGAATGGCTTGTTCTGTGCCAGCATTGGTATATTAACTCACTTAATCCTTGCAAACAAATCTCTGAGGATTATAGCATCATCCCCATTACATAGACAGAAAGCTAGTCTGTCTAGATAAAAGCAGCTCGCCCAAGATGGCGCACTGGAATTTGAACCTAAGCTGTCTGTGTTCTCACGTGCCACACTCAGTCATGAACTGTAAATGGATAAATGCACACTGTCCATCGTACATTGGAATCCAAGAGGAATCCATTATCTTTTGGAAATCATGGTCACGTAGTTTCCATAGTTTTATCTACCTAGCTGGGCTAACGTGCTTCAGCAAATCCACTTCTTAAACTAGGCTAGGTCGAGTCACCAAGAAATGATGCAATTTGGTGAAAGGATTTGGATGTGGGAGGGGATTATTAAAGGTGCGGAATTATTGAAAAGAAAAGTTTGGGAGTAACAGGAACTCCTGCACAATTGCAAGACTGCTCCTCAAACAAATACAAGACGAAGAGGGACACGCTAGCAAGCCTTAATGAGAGTACTGAGCTCCATTCACTTTGCAGTAATCTGCATCTCCTGGGCCTCGGCACTTTTTTTATTACAAAAGAATGGAAAAAAAAAAAAGCCAAAACTGTTAAGAATGTCATGGCTAGGAGGCCACTAGTGAACAATCACCTACAAAGAGCCCTCAAGATAAGACTAATGTGGGATATGAGACTAGGTGCTATAAGAAAGGTCACTGTCCTCAACAATTAATGTTGAGTTAACAACAATTAATTAAGTCCAACAATTAATGGTCTCTGCTATTTTCACCTAACAACAACCCCTGAAAACAACCCATTCTTCCCTTCTAATGGCAGGTTCCAAAAGGTATCCATCAAAGGAGTGCTGCCCAGAAGAGCATTCTTATTTACGTCCAGCTTATACACATCTTATTCTCAAAGCCTTTTTTGGCCTGAACCTGTATGAAATAGTCCACTTCTCTGAAGTTGTTTTTGTTTTTTAACTGTGAAAGAACAACGTTGATAAATTACTCATCTTTTAAAACCACAATCATAAAGTCAAACTCCTATATTACTACTGCATTTTAGAGTGTTAGGGAGTCCCCAGCCTAGATGGGCTATGTTAAAAAAAATTTTTTTAGGTTGCTTATTTAAATCTCAGAAAGCATTTCTTCCCTAGAAATATTCATTATAGTAATAAGGGAAATGGATCTGCTCACCAAAGCCTCATTTCCACACTCTCTCCCTCAATTTCCTGGTCTAGATTTATGGTTACTTAGGATGCTTCTTAGGCTTTCCAGAGCCTCCCACACAGGTCTCCATTTCCACCATGGAATTTTTTTAAGTGGGGTATTTTTAAGCTGGGAAATGTCTTACTAACAATTTAGTTTTCTATCACTTAAAATCTACTAATTTTCATTTTTACAACACAGACGACACTTGATTTACCTTAAATTCTATATGAAAAATATTTTAAGGCAATCAGAAAATTAAAAACAAAGAGGTATAAGAGAACACTAAAAAGTCCCTAATGGTTTGTGGACTTCAAACATCAAAAGCAAGATGCTATTTTGAAATATGTAATGACTCAAGTTTAAAGATGGGTGAATTTTAATTTATTCCTGTATAAAACCAAATGGTAGTCTAATACCACTGAGACTAAGTGCTGAAAAACTAAGTAATAAAACAAATACGTGAAACATGATTACAATTTAAATTCTCTGGACTCTTTTTTCTAAGCCCCCACTTTTAATACAGAATGCACTCTCCCCACCTAAGCACAGTGGTATTACTTAACACTTGACATCTAAAAGCTGTACTTTAGGAATGTTCCGTGAGTTTTCACAGCTATTGGGAAAGCTTTAAAAAGAAAAAGTGGGGGGTTAAAAAGACAGCTTCGGACTGTAGCACAGTGCAACTAGTCCGAATACTGACTTAGACTTTATGTCTCTAACTAAATTCCTGTTTTTCTACAAAAACCTTTTATCATCTGAATAGTTTCATCAGATTTTCCATTTTCTACAGGTAACCTTTACTTCCCATCATGTCCCAGATAACTGAGAGTCTTGATTTCCTAGAGGTGGACCGCAGTCATTGAGTCCCCTTTATAAATAAGGCAACCATTCGTTTTAATGTCCGTTGGAACAGGGTTTTATGCTCCAAACTGAATTTTCACTAAAGCGCACAGGATGCTCAAAAATGTTTTCCAAAGCTCTCTTCTGGTCCATTCAGGGCAATCAAAATGTAATCGAAGTGGCAGAAGAACTGGAGTACTATTAGTCATATTTGATTCTCTCCATGGGGCGTTCCTCCTTGTAATGGGAAATTATTTGAATCAGGATGGAACAGTTGATAAGAAGGAAGAACAAACCAGCTAACCAGATAAACAGAAAGGTGTTCTTTCCCTGAAACTCCAGAACATAGGCAGGAGCCAGCCATAAGGCCTGCCCTATAAACCACAGCATTAGGAGAACCACAGCTCGTCTCCAAGGTATTCTCACGAGCGGCATCACAAGGGGCAGCAGGCAGAGGTACCAGAGAAAATACTGGGAGGTGCAGACTTTGTTAAAAGTCACAAAAATGGCCGTGTGCAGGAAACAACAGAAGACGAGGTCTCTGTGGTAGGCGAAGGACACGGCCGAGAGCAACACGAACTGCGGCAGGAAGGCGGCGACGCCGAGGGAGGGGCTCCACGGGCTCTCCGCGGTCAAGTACAGCATGTAGAAGTACGGAGAAAAGTTGTGCCGGATGTCCCGCCTCGTCAGGTGATACAGGTAGGCGTGCTCCAAAAACTCCCAGCCGTATTTGCTGTAAAAGCCGAAGCTGATGGCGGAAAACGTGAGCCCGGCCACCGCCACGAAGAGCAGCACGGCCCGACTGCACAGCCTCCTGAGGAATTCGGACAGACGGGCCCGGAAGGAGCAGCGGGGCTGGCGGGCGCCCGGGTCGCCGCCGCCGCTGCCGCCGTCGCGCTCCGGGAGCAGGTGCAGGGCGATGGGAAGGATGTAGGTCACCGGGTACATCTTCATGTGCACGGCGAGGCCGTAGGCCACAGCGGCGCACGCCACCTGCCTCCTCGCGAGCAGGTACAGCGCCGCCAGCACCAGCGCCGCCACCAGCGGGTCCGCGTTGCCCCGGCTGGACACCGCCATGGGGAGGGGGTTGAGAAGCCAGAAGACGCAGTAGCCGCAGGCGCGGCGCCGGCCCAGCCCCTGGAGGAGCAGCAGGCGGTAGAGGAGGAAAGCGGTGAGGAGGTCGCAGCTGATGAACAGAAACTTCCCGAAGAGCTCACACAGGTAGACGTTGGGCGTGAGCAGCCAGCCCAGCAGCGGCGTGTAGCGGTAGGTGGCCCGCAGGTACGGGGAGCGCCCTTGCGTGATGAAGCGCGCGGCGTCCGTGAACACCTGGTAGTCCACGTCCGTGTAGCGCACGAGCAGCGTCCGGTCCTGGAAGACCCCGTAGAAAACCAGGGCCACCCGGGCGAGGAAGGCCACCCCGAAGACCCCGGCGGGCGGCACCCGCAGGCTCAGGAACCATTCTCCCCAGTGCTTGGTCGGGCCCATGACCGCGCGGCGCCTCAGCCTCTCGGCCCCAGCCCTCGAAGCCCCGACCCTCGCTCGGCGCCCGCGCCTCAGGCGGCCGGCGCATCTCCCACCAGCCCGCAGCCAACCGAAACGACCGCCGGTCGGTCGCTTCCGGCAGAACGCCCCGCCCCCGTCCCGCTTCCGGCGGGAGGGGCCGCGCGGCGCTCTCAGTGGCCCGGCCGAGGTTGCCTTCCTCTGGATTGGCTGTGTCGCTGCCGCTCCTTCCTTCGGCGGGGGCAGAACTTCCGGTCCTTGCGGGAGGTGTGGTCCGCTGGCGCTGGAGGCGGGCGGCTCCGGTCGCGGAGCGGGGAGGCTGCCTTCTTCGCGTGACGCCCCTTCCCACGCCGCCGCTCCGTTCCGCGGGGACGGAGCCAGAGACGGACGGAGCTTCCAGCCTCGTCCCCGGCCCCGGGCCGGAGACCCGAGAGTGAGATCGCTTGCCGGGCGTCCCACCGCCAGCTCGCCGGTAACCGGGGCTCGTGGGCCGGGCCGAGCATGCGTGTCGTGGGCGTGCCCGGGACGTATCCCTGTTTTGAAACTGTACCTTCTGTGTCCACACTCGAAGTGAGCTGGGCGGCCGGTGTCTTTTCCGGCAGCCCTGGGTGGAGGGGTGGGAGGCGAGGCCGGGAAAGGTGCCCCGGGGCCTCGCTGCTGCGGACTTGGCTCTTCCTTGTGTCCCGGTTGCCTTCCCGTCCCCAGCCAGCACTTGGCTCTTCAGGCCTCAGCTCAGGTGTTAACTCCTAAAAGCACATCCTGGCTCCGCTGCCTCCTGCCCACCGAGGGTGGACAGAGTGGGTGGCGGGACTCCAAACTCTAGAAGGTCATTCACACAGAAGACCCTGCCTGCTACCTAAGCCCTGTCCAGTGCTGCCTGCCAGCCCAGTGCCCGGCCCTCTCTTCTGGAGTGACCATTCTTTATTACAGCATTTGTCACAGTGCCCTGTGACACCTGATTTTTTTTTTTTTTTTAAGATTTTATTTATTTGAGAGAGAGGAGAGAGCACGGGGTGGGGGGCGTGGGAAGCGGCAGAGGGAGAGGGAGAAGCATACTCCCGGCTGAGCAGGGAGCCCAAGGCGGGGCTCAATCCCAGAACCCTGAGATCACGACCTCAGCTGAAGTCCGACACTTAGCAGACTGAGCCACCCAGGCGACCGGACACCTGATTTTTTGTTTCCCTTTTCTCCTTTTTGTCAGGACACTTTGAGGCCTTTGAGAACAGAGATTATCTTGTTCTTTTCTGAACCTCAGTGTCTAACACATTAGCAGACTTGCAGTAGGCATTCAGTAGAAGTTGAATTGATTTTGGATGTCCCTCTTAGGCCAGAGTCCCTCCAGAGTGGCATCCTGGGAGTGCTCGCAACTCCCAGTCCTTTTGTTTTTCCAATATCCTTTACCTATCTCAAGTTCTGCCCCCTTCTCCCCCCCTCCACCCTCCAACCCCTGCTCCTCTGAATTTCTCACCAAGCACTCCCGCCCATTAGCTCTTTCCCTTCTGTGGGTATGTGTTGCTCTTAGTCTGCAGAATTGCAAATGCCATAATTCATTTTAAGTAATATTCATAACCTTTTCAATGAGATTGTGGGCTTTTGAGTTAGGGATTATATTTTACCTTAGTTTTTTTTTTTCAGTTACTCATAATTTATTGCAGTCTTAGGCACATTATAAATGTTCAGCAAATACTGACTTCATTTTACAGATTGATCTGGCTTCCTAGGGGAAGTTTTCTCGACTAGAATAAAGAGAGTAAGATGACTCCCTTCAGCCTCAACATGCAGCTCCCAGGATTGCACCCCCCAGCCCCCCCCCCGCCCCTGCCTCATCCATCATACAATTTACATTTATCCTTTGGATGAACCATGTTAATTGTATACATTCCATATTCATATTCTGATATCTCTTTCTCCTTTTATCTGCCTTAGTGTAATTATAAACCTCATGTTGGTAGTTACTTTTTCTTTTCTTTCTTTTTTTTTTTTTAAGATTTTATTTGTTTATTTGACAGAGAGAGACAGAGCACAAGCAGGGGGAGTGGCAGGCAGAGGGAGAAGCAGGCTCCCTGCTGAGCAGAGAGCCGGACATGGGGTTCGTCTCAATCGCAGGACCCTGAGATCATAACGTGAGCCGAAGTCAGATGCCTAACCAACTGAGCCACCCAGGCGCCCTGGTAGTTACTTTTAACTGTTTGTTTTTTTTTTGCAGCACACTAGCTACGCATACAGTGGTAGCACGTCACCATGCTGCTGCTGATGATTCCCAACAGCTAGCTCTGTTGGAAACTTATTTGCAGTGTGTCGGGCATTGTGCTAAATACTTATCATGTAAGGTGGATATGCTACCTTCACAGATGAAGAAATCAAGACTTCCAGAGGTGAAATAATTTTCCTAAATCACATCATCAACTAATGGCAGAGCTGGAACACAAAAGCAATTCTCTTTCTAACTACTGTGTGGCTAACCTGTAAATAAAATGTTGTTGATGAATTTTGAGTTCCTTCTCTGCCTCCTCTCATTTGATCTCTTCTCTGAATCTTTCAGATATTTCCTCTCACTGTGACTCTAGTTCTGATTATTCTCTCTGCCAGTGATAGCTAAGTGAGGCTTAGTTCCAGAGAGTAGAGGATATGGAAGGTACGTGTCTGAGGATTAACTCAGTAATGGTCCCTCTCGCGGGGCTGCTTTAGGTAGTGTGGCAGAAAGGCCTCAACCCATTTGACTCTATAGAGCTTACCCATTAAATGGGTGGGAGGCACCAAATTGGGCAGATAAGGAAATAAGAAACAGTTAAACAAAACTCCACTGGGGTCACTGAAGTCGAAGGCGTGAGATACAGATACTGGTTGTGGGACTGAAGAAGGGACTGGGGTCCAGGAAAATAACTTGGACAGGGAGGTCCGACTTCCCTTCCAGTTTCTAGGTGGGACAGAAGTATTCCAGGCTTTAAGGAGCCCATCCTGAGCATTGTGCACTGGGCTCAGGGATTCTATTTCTTACCTCTTTCCAAAAGAGCTCCAGTTTTTTCAGATGCTCAGCTGTTCATTACCTCTTGAGCTATTACGTACAGTCCTTCTGATTACCCCTTTCACTGGCTGCTTCCAGGCTTCTGCCCCAGTAGAGCCAGCTACACAACGTTCATAGCTTATCCCCAGCATCCTTAGCCAGGGCCTTGAGCTTGGTCACTATACTGTTTTGCTCTCTTTAGCTTTCCAGATCTATTCTCCATCTTTTTTGCCCTGTTCTGGGCAGCATCACCCCATCTTCCCTGCCGTCTGGCTCCGCATGAGAATAAGCCAGTGGGAGATGCTAGCAGATCTTTGGCGGTGGCTGAGTCTTGCTGCCTAAGGCCACGGCTTCCACTGGAGCCACAGCCCCCTCCCTTGGCTACAACTCTCACCAGTTTCCGGTCACCAGGTTTAAGACTGGTAAAGGCTTTCCTGCTGTGGGGAGGCCCTGGGTGCCTCACCATCTCTTGTTGGCTTATTAGCCCTGCCTACAACTTCGTAAATCATCCCTCCGTTAAATCCTATCCGTAATAGCTCTTTGAGTATACCCTCTGTTTTCTGCTGGAGTACCGGCTGATTCAGTCACTTTCCTCGTTTTGTTTTTTATAGATCTTGCTTATATTTCCTGCTTTGTAATTTCTTTGGAATCTATTCCTAATTCTTTTCATGCTCAGTGTCCTGTACCTTAGTCCAGACCTTCAACAGCTCCATTTAATAATATGTACCGACCACCTCCACTACACTAGGATCTCTGGCAATTACCTTTCCCGCAAGCTTTTGAAAGTCTCTTAACTGGTTTAGTGTCTCCTGTCTCTCGATTCTCCTGCTAGGTTGATATTCATAAATAGTACTTTAATTAGATTCTTTCCTTCCTCAAATATCTTCAATGGCTCCCAACTGCCTATAGAAAAAAAAAATAGACCATTTAGGCTGATATTCAGTCCCTCCATGACCCTGCCTTTTCAATCTATTCACCTATAAAGCCCTCTCTTCTAGGTTTATAACCCATCCTTTACATAATATGCCTGTGCTTTCTTCCTACAGTACTTTTCCTCGTACCACCTACAGAGAATCCTGTTTCTCTTCACTTACCTAAATACTATTTGTCCTTTGATGCTGGACTCTAACCTCAACTCCTCGAAACTCTCCCTAGACCTTAACTAGTGGAAATTATCTCTCCCCTTGCAAAACAGTGGAGCTTATTGTCTGTTCTCTTTTTTTTGACAATTATGTCAATGCCTTATGAAATATGATACCTAAATCTTTTATGGGTATTTAACTAAAGTATACGAGCTGCACTGTGTACTAGCTGTGTGAACTTGAGACATATTTCTTCCCTCCCTCTTCCCTTGCTTCTGCTACATTTATTGAGCAACATACATGCAGGTCCCGGGCGAAGTGCCAGGCTCTGCTGGTGACCGAATGCTGACGTGAGTCCCATTCACGTGGCACTTAAAGTCTAGTGAGTGAGACACATTAGTCCAGTAAATTCACAAGTACAATTGCTGCTCTGGTAAGTGCTATGAAAGACGGGTATGCGGTGCAACCATAGCTTTTAACAGGCATTTTGGTCTGAGATGGGCATAGTAAGAGTGAGCAAGGCTGGGGTTGGCAAGCGGTAAGGAGTTCCACAGAAGAATAGCAGGTGCAAAGTCCTTATGGCATGCGTCACGTCTCCTCTTTCTTAGTTGAGTGGTACCTTCCACATAATAGGAACTCAGTATTTGCTGATTTTTTCTTGAATCTTAGGTCAAATGTGTTCTAACTAGATCTCATAGATCGATACCTTCCCTTGCCTAGTGCCTGTCCCCGTGAGGAATTTCCACGGGCGTCTCACTCTTAGAACGTGTCGTTGATGGTCTATCTGGCCCTTAGTGTGTCCGACTTGTAATATACCTGGTTTTCCTCACAAGTTTGCAAGTTTCTTCAAAGTATAAGGGACTGTATATTTCATATATCCTGTATCTCCTATGTCTTAT